TACATGGAAGCTAACCTTTTGTTGTATCCCAAGGACCTCCTGTCTTTATCTGCCATCTGAAGTGAGTGTGCACAGACACATGGAGACAAAACATGCATATAACTAAAATTAAAATCAGGTTAAAAAATATAATAGAATTCTCTGAGATTATTAGAAGTCATCAAAAATCATTCATCAAGGGGAAGAGTACACAGTGCTATTAGGGTAATTTTCTTTCAAATTTTAAGTTTTTGTATTCTCTATCTTTTATCTATACGAATTTTGCTATTTTCATACTTGTGTTTCAGATTAAACTCCAAGACTGACAATCTGCTTTTCAAAGTTTCATTTACTTAGTTTTCAACTAAGACCTTCTGGTACAATATGAACATGTGAGAGACCTTTCTTTCCATAATTTTTATAATTTATATATGTTCCTGCCGTACCGGTTTATCTGGAGGGGGTACTTTCGGTTTGGCGGCCACGGCCACCATCACCGTTTCTGCCCCTGTCGTCCAGGGTCTCACCCAGTGGGTCGGGTTTTGGACCAGGTCCTCCCACACGATAATGTATGGGACCTGATCAGGGTGTCCCCCTGAAGCCTGAAAAATAATTCGCTTGATTCCAGGGTCTCACCCAGGGTGTCGGATTTTGGACCAGGTCCTCCCATACGATAATGTATGGAACCTGATCAGGGTGTCCCCCTGAGGCCTGAAAGATAATTCGCTTGACAGCGGAAATGAGAGACAGGTTAAAAGTTCCCTCCGGAGGCCATCCTACGCCAAAACTCGGCCATTCGGAGGAGCAGAAAGTCTGCCAAGGCCCTTTCCTGACTTCAACAGAAAGATTATGAGCCCTCGTCTTAACGTCTGTCCAATGGTCCAGAGTCAGTGTTAGTGGGGTCGTCACGGTCTGTCCCATTTCTAGTTCTATCACACTTACAAGAAGAACAATCACAAAGACTACGAAACAGAGAGACAAAGTCAGTCGCCGACCTCGAGTCGACCAGAAATCCTGAAAAGAATCAGACGGTCTGTAGTTGGCCCTCTGACACAGATCGTCAAGGAGGAAACTAATCTCCTGCCTTTCCCCGTGGGGGTCCACCAGGCATTCCTGGTCCTTCCCCCCTCCTCTGGGACATCTCCCAGGGTGAACAAATGGTGGACACCTGGACACGTCTATCCCTGTCCACTCTGCTCCCCCCCCTCTGGAGGAGCAGACGCGATTAGAGCGTTTGCAAAACCAGAACTGCGATCACACCAGATCTCTGAACAATTTTGAGTTAAGAATGCCCCTAAATGTTTCTGCTTTTACATGGTGATCATAATCAGGAGAGCAATTGTTGACTGAGTAGACTAAGAAGAGAGAGAATAATATGTAAACATGTGAAGACTTCTTAAGTAAAACTGAAAGACCCCCGAAGGGAGACCCTCACTCAAGTCTCGGGAAAGGCACGCACCCAGTGAGGCACCAAGACCAGACTTGCTGCAATCACACGAGGAAGTTTATTAAGAGTGAAACGGAATGAGATCTCAGGCCAGCATGCTGGGGTCGAAACTCATACACCACGCAGGGGTAGAGGAGTTCGACCCCGGCCTGAATTTGTGACAGGCTTATAAAGGCAAAAACCACAAAGAAACAGGGGGAGGACAGGGGGAAGGAATGGGGAAATATCAGAGTCATACAGTATTCATCAGTTAAACCATAAACCATGTGTCACATGAATCACACACCTGGGGCACATTTATGGCATTGAAACATTCCATAGAGGTCATCGGAACCTCTGGTAGTTATTCTGGGAACTATTTTTCTCAAGAAAGTTCCGGGTGTGATTACCTGCAGAGAAGAGGGCCCTAGGGCAGGGACCAGTGTTCCTTGAAAGTTTTTCTTACTCTTCATTCCCTCCTTTTTCTTTTTGTAAAAGCTCTAATCTTAGAGCGATCCCTCAGCTTCTTGTAATACCTGCTATTGTTGTCTTAGGACCATTACCTGCACAGCACTCACTCTTTCTTTTATAAAAGCTACTAGTCTACTGAGGATGCATGGCCCAAAGGTCAGGATTAGCATCAAAATGAGTAAAGGCCCGACCAAAGTGGAGACTAGCGTAGAGAACCAGGGTGACCGGTTAAACCAATTTTTATATCATTCCTGTTGTGTTTCTCTTTCTTTTCTTCTGGTTTCTAGTCTGTCTCTAAGCTTTGCCATAGAATATTTTATGACACCAGAATGATCTACGTAAAAGCAACATTCTTTTTTTAGGGCAGCACAGAGCCCTCCTTCTTTTAGAAAAAGCAGATCTAATCCCCTCCTGTTCTGTAATACTACCTCTGATAATGAAGTCAATGACTCTTCCAGTTTGGTTATGGACTGTTCTAAAGCCCCCAAGTCCACATCCATAGCTGCTCTGAGTTCATTATAGTAGTAAGGCTATTGGATGAGGGCAGCTGCTCCTGTTCCAACTCCTGCCGCCACTCCAAGTCCTAATAAACAGCTAAGGTCAAAGTTATAGGTTCTCTCTTGTATCGAGTACAAAGGTCAAATGTATCTATAAATGAGGCATCATCATGATAAATAACCCTAGGTACCAATTGGACTAAAATACAAAAGTCTTTAGTACTGTCAAAAAGTGAAGTATGAAGGCAGGGAGTCAAGCCGGTACCACAAGCCCACCAGGTATCGAGAGGGGGTACTAGGTATTTATCTGGGCCAGTTGTCAGGTTGGAGATAGTTGCATTACAGAGGGGCTGATGCGTGGTAGGTACTTTTCCTATGCACAGTCCAGTTCCTGATACTGCAGACAGGGTTAACTTTCGTTGGCTTCCCCAGGGGCAATGTGAGTGGTCAGAAGTAACATTATAGCTACGTAGCTGAGCTATTCCTTCATAGTAAGGGGGATTAGAAGTAAAACACAGCCAGCAGGACTGAGTAGCGGCAGGGTTAGTGCGATTTAAAACAACAAATGCACTATCAAGCAGATTGAAGAGAAGGTCCTCAGTCCCCATAGGGACACGGGAGGATGCAGTCCAGAGAGGATATGAGTCCTCCTTTGGTGACTGGGTGGGATGAGGAGGCCTCTCAGGCCTATCCTTTGGTGACAGGGTGGGAGGAGGAGGCCTCTCAGGCCTGGGTATGGGGTTATCAAGCACCGAATTGGGGCCTACGGGTCGTGTGGGTGGACTTTCTATTTTTATCTTAATGACAAAAACGAATCCAGGGTCCCCGCTGCCAGTATAGACTCTCCATCCCCACCGATTTCCTCTTACCCATTGACGATCTTGTTTTCCCTGTGGGGTGAAGCTGATATTTAGGGGGTTACAATAATTGTTTTTGCATGGCCCCTGAGGGCCATCAGAGCTTCCAGAGGCACACCCAGTCCTATAAGCCGGGTATTTGGAGGGATCTCTTTCTCCTTTTTCTGGCTCTTCTGGCTTACGACCCTTTTTAACCGTAATTAGATCCCAAGAGGAAGAAGGGTTCCAGTAGGCTTCCCCTGTGGTCTCACATCCCCATTTACTACAAAAATAGTCTGAAGCCCCTCCGCACCATCTCTTCATTTCTCTGGATTTTCCCTGCCCTGGGCAGACATAGAAGTCTGCTGCCTGGAGGTTGGCTCGGAAAAATTGTCCTGAACACACCAATGTGCTCCCTATGCCATGAGGGACACACTGTTCTTCTGGGGGTGGCTTTTCTAAATCAGTGTAACTGGAAAGATCCCAGGCCATAGAGCCGGCTGCTAATTTACAGATATCGGGTGCAATATCAGGCCACCAAGTCCAAAGGGGGTGCACTGCGGTTGTTGACCATACGACGTCGCCCTCTTCATTAAGCACTTCCCAGGTTAGTTTTTGGGGGGCATGGGGATTATTACCCAAGGTTGGGGCTATGGTGAGGGTTCAGCTTAAGAGGATTGTCACTGGTTGCCACTGTCCAATTGTCTTCATGGTTATCCTTGCCTTGACTGGGTGTCTTTTTGACATGGGAAGCATGTACCCAGGCAGCAATCCCGTCGACCTTGACTGCCGAGGGGGTAGTCAACAGCACCAGGTAGGGTCCCTTCCACCGGGGCTCAAGCGTGCCAGCGCGATGTCGTCTGACCAGGACTGAGTCTCCGACCTGGAACCCGTGGGGCACCGTGATGGTTCCTGGAGCGTAGGCTTCTTTAATTCGACTCCAGATCTGTGTTTTAATAACTTCTAAGGCCTTTAAGTGAGTAAATAAAGCAGAGGAGGAGGGGGAGTAAGTGCTAGGATCCAATATCCTGCACGACTCCGTTGGGGGGGGCGGTCCCCCATGTAGGATTTCATAAGGGGTAAGGCCGAAACGCCCAGGCGAGTTTCGGACTCTAAGAAGTCCAAAGGGGAGGAGGGTCACCCAGTCTTTGCCGCCAGTCTCAATAGCTAATTTAGTAAGGGTCTCTTTTAGAGTCCTATTCATCCTTTTTACCTGTCCTGAGCTCTGGGGTCTGTAAGCACAATGTAATTTCCAATTAATCCCCAGTTGGTTGGCCAATTCCTGACTTACCTGGCCAACGAAGGCTGGGCCGTTATCAGACCCGATTACCTTGGGAATCCTGAATCTGGGCAGAATTTCTTCTAGTATCTTTTTGGTCACCACCTGAGCAGTTTCAGATTTTGTGGGAAAGGCCTCTACCGATCCTGAAAAAGTATCTATAAAAACTAGAAGATATTTATTACCATATTTTCCTGGCATAATTTCAGTAAAGTCTATTTCCCAATAAACTCCTGGTCGATCTCCCCTTATTCTTTTTCCAGGCTCCTTGAACGGTCGGGCGGCATTGGTCATAGTACAGGCTTGACTTCCTTCTACTACCTGTTTTGTTATGGTGTGTAGGTCTTGAACATAGTATTTGGAACTGTTAAGTAGTTGTTTAAGTTTTTCAGTTCCGAGGTGAGTTAGTTGATGTAATCTTTTTACATAGTCCTGCCCCTCTTTAGCGGGTAAGACAATTTGCCCATCTTCAGTCAAGGCACAGTCTTCGTGTGTGAGCTCCAGCTCCGGGGGCTCTGGTGGGTGATCTCTGGTTCCTTCTATTAGCACCATAACTCCATGGGCGGCATGCTTGGCTGTCAGGTCTGCCATCTGGTTTCCCCATGTAACTGGGTCAGTCCCCTTTTGATGTCCTAGGCAGTCCCCTTTTGATGTCCTAGGCAATGGACAATGGCCAATTTCTTGGGTAGGTGTATGGCTTCTAGAAGAGCCAAGATTTCCTCTTTGTTTTTAATGTCTCTCCCTGCCGGTGTGAGTAGGCCTCTCTGCCTATAGATGGCCCCATGAATGTGGGCGGTGGCAAAGGCATAGCGGCTGTCAGTATAGATGTTAACAGCCTTACCTTCTGCCAGGCGCAGAGCTTGAATCAGTGCCAAAAGTTCAGCTTTTTCTGAGGATTTCCCCTCTGGGAGACTGCTGGCCCATAACACCTGCTTCCCATCCACCCCCGCCGCTCCTGCTTTTCTTTTCCCTTCCACCATGAAGCTGCTGCCATCCATATACCAGCTAGGCACACCTGGCCAATGTTGATCCGTCAGGTCCGTTCTGATTCCAGTCTCCTCGGCCAGGATATCAGCACATCGGTGCACAGGAGTAGAGTCATCTGCATCAGGGAGCAGGGTGGCAGGGTTGAGGATAGCAGGGGGAGCAAAAGTTATTCGATCAGTTAGTAACAAGCTCTGGTAATGAGTCATTCGAGCATTTGTCATCCAGTGGTCGGGGGGCTGTCGCACAATACTTTCTAAGGCATGAGGGGCGATTATAGTCACATGTTGGTCCAGGGTCAGCTTGTCAGCATCTTTGACAAGCAAGGCTACTGCGGCAATGGCTTTCAGACAAGAGGGCCAACCGCTGGCTACGGGGTCTAGTTTCTTTGACAAATAGGCCACTGGCCGCTTCCAAGGACCCAGGGCCTGAGTCAGGACTCCCCGAGCTACTCCAGCCCGTTCATCAACGTATAAGGTGAAAGTTTTGGTCAAGTCTGGCAGAGTCAAAGCAGGGGCTGTGAGCAGGGCAGTCTTTATTTTATCAAAGGCTTTCTGATGTTCTTCTTTCCATGTAAATGGGACTTTGTCTTTAGTCAAAGGGTACAAAGGGGCCGCCAAGGTGGCAAATCCCGGTATCCAGAGTCTACAAAAGCCCGCCGTTCCCACAAACTCACGTACTTGTCATGGAGTGGTGGGGGTCGGGATCTGCATTACAGTTTTCTTTCGGGCTTCAGTGAGCCACTGCTTTCCTTCCCGGAGGGTGTATCCCAGGTAGGTAACTTCCAGACGGCATAATTGGGCCTTCTTTGCAGACACCCGGTATCCCAACTCACCCAATTCTTTTAGAAGCTCTTTGGTCCCATTAAGGCATAGTTCCCAGGTGGAGGCTGCAAGAAGCAAATCATCTACATACTGTAAGAGAGAGATTTGGGGGTTTCGTGCCCTAAAGCGCGCAAGGTCACGGTGGAGCGCTTCATCGAAGAGAGTTGGTGAGTTCTTAAATCCTTTCGGAAGCCTAGTCCAGGTCAGCTGACCGGTGTGTCCTCCGTCGGGGTCCCGCCATTCGAAGGCAAACAGGAGTTGGCTACTTGGATGCAGTCTGAGGCAGAAAAAGGCATCTTTTAAATCCAGAACAGTATACCAAGACCGCTCCGGTGGCAGGGAACTTAGCAAATTGTAGGGATTTGGCACTGTTGGGTGAATGTCCAGTACCCGCTTGTTGACCTCTCTCAAGTCCTGGACAGGTCGGTAGTCATTGGTTCCAGGCTTGAGTACCAGCAAGAGGGGGGTATTCCAGGGGGACTGGCAAGGAATCAGTATACCTTGTTGTAATAGCCTCTGGATGTGTGGTCGAATGCCTTCTTTAGCCTCCTGAGTCATGGGGTACTGCCTGACTGAGATGGGGGTAGCAGCTGCTTTTAATTC